AGTTCATGGTTAGCTGGCTCCAAAGCAGATGTGGCATGGTGAAGGAAAGCTGCTTACTTCCTGGTGTCCAGGAATTATAGAGAGAAAGGAAGTTATGGGAAGGCAGAGATATTCTCCACAGGCATCCCCCTCCATGACATACCTCTGTCAGCCACCTCATAAGACCATATTTAGCTATAAACTCATCAATGGATCGATTCACTGATGAATACCTTCCAAAAGCCTACCTCTGAACACATACAACTTCTAAGGGATGTTATAGATCTAAACTAACATTCTCTCCTGGTGCTCATAAGGCTCCTCTCTGTCTCATTATGTAAAATTCAGTTAATTCACCTCTTGAGTTGCCAGAGTTGTAACAGTTTCAGCAATCCTGAAGGTCCAAGTCCAAAGTGTCCTCTGAGACTCAAGATAAACTTTTAGCTGTAAAAATAAAAATAGTTGCAGAATCCCAAGGTTCAGCGGCATGGGGTAAAAATTTCCATTCCAAAATGAAGGAACAGCAATCCCAATCAAAACACCAAGAACATTCCTCACAGAACTAGAGAAAATTCAAAAATTCATATGAAACCAGAAGAGACCAATAATAACAAAAGCAAATCTGGGTAACGAGCAAAGCAGAAGGCATCACAATCCCAGATGTCAAGTTATACTAAAAAGCTACAGTGATAAAAACAGCATGGCACAGCATGGCACAAAAACAGACATGAGGATGAGTGGAACAGAGTAGAAGATGTAGAAACAACTCCAGACACATTCAGCTATCTGATCTTTGACAAAGGGGCCAAAAATATACACTGGAGGAAATACTCTTTAATAAATGGTGATGGGAAAACTGGCTATCTGCATGCAGAAGATTAAATCTAGACTCATGAATCTTATGATGTGCTAAACTAAAATAAAAATCTAACAATTTAAATGATAAACACAAACATTTAATCTGCTGAATAATAAAATAGGTAAAATTTGATGTCATAAGTGAAGGCAAGCATTTCCTGAACAGAACCCCAATTGCACAAGAAATAACATCAAGAATAAACAAATAGGATTATATCAAATTATAAATCTTCTCCATAGCAAAGAAAACAGCCAACAAAATGAAGAGACAACCTACAGAATGGGAAAACAAATTTTGCCAGCTATTCCTCAGAGGACTAATATCTAGAATATATAACAAACTCAAAAAATCCAGTCAAAAAATGGGCAACTAAAATGAATAGATACTTCTCAGAAGCAGTCCAAATGGCCAATAAATACATGAAAAGATGTCCATCATCTTTGGCCATCAGAGAATTGCAAATTAAAACAATGAAATTCCATCTTACTGTAGAAAGAATGGCTAGCATCAAGAAATCAAATGAATTGTGGCAAGACTACAGGGAGAAAGGAAACCTACATTGTGGAAATCTAAACTAGTACAAATACTATGGAAACCTGTAGAGTCCTCAGAAATCTAAAACTAGAAATTCTATTGAACCCACCTATTCTCCAAGGTATCTTCCCAAAAGAATTAAAGACATACATATTCATATTTATAATAGCATAATTCATAATAGCTAAATTTTGGAAGTGGCCTATATGTCTTTCAATAGATGGACTTATACACAATGAAGTATAAAGAAGAAACTGCTATAAAAAAGAAACTGGAGTCATATGTAGGAAAATGGTTACACTTTGAGATCATAAGGTTCAGTGAAATAAATCAGACACACAAACTTAAATATCATGTTTCATCTTATATGAGAAACCCAAAATATAAATAGATAATTTAAAGTTAGTTCATAGGAAATATAAAGGTAGATATTTTGCAAATGGGAAGAGGGCCAAGAGATGCAGGGAAGAGGCTAGGGAGGGCAAGGAGATGAAAGATGAACTAAGATGTGTTGTGTACATGAAGCAACTCCCCATGAAGAATTTAATCATTATGTGCTGCAAACATGAACTAATAAAACATATAGGAAAAGTGAAGAATAGGAGGATGGAAAAGAATTGGACCCAAGATATCAAAACCTAACATGACAAATATTAGGTCTGGTAGTTCTACATCCAGCATCCAGGTCACGTGGGAAAGATGAGTTCCACAGGGCTTGATGGTCCCATCCCTATGGCCATGCTGGTTGCAGCCCATATGGTCTCTCTCTTGGTCTGGTTTCACTTGTGGCCTGCAGCTTTCCTTGGCATATGTTCCATGTTCCTAGCATCTAAAACACCCCAGCATCCCTACTGCACCTTTGGCTTTATTCCCATAGCTTCACAGACTGCCCTTTCAGAGGCTCCTTGCCTGGCCTTCCCTGCCCTTTTTTAAAATCAGAATGGAAGCCCTTCTGACTTCACAACTCTTGGATTTTTCATGCCACTAAAGCCAGCATCACATGAATGACTCCAGGGTCTGCCACTAGTGTGGGCAGTACCAAGGCCCTTGGACCATGATTGCAGTGGCCTCTGAATCTGTGGATGCCTGAGCATGGTGAAATGAATTCCATGAAACCAATTTCCTAGGTGGCCCCTCTTTGTTTGTTTGGGTTTTTTGGTTCCAGGGATCGAACTCAGGTCCTTCTGCTTGCAAGGCAGGCAGTGGAACCACTGAGCTAAATCCCTGGCCCAAACATTCCTTTTTTGGGTACCCAGGAATTGAACTCAGGTCCTTGCGCTTGCGCGGCAGGTGGCGAAACCACTGAGCTAAATCCCTGGCTTTTAGATGGCCCCTCTTGAGCAGGGGGTCTGGAGATACTATCTCAAATCAAAGGTTTACAATTTTATATCTTTGAACCTGTGATGAGTGGGTTCTTGCCCATTGAATTGCCTTTGCACTTTTGTCCCAAACAAAGTGACCATATTCTGTGTGTCTGTTTCTAGACTCTATATTGTTGAATTGGTTTCTGTATATATCCCTGAGCCACTGTTTTTTCAAGTTGTTCTGGCTATTCCAATTCCCTTTGCACTATATATATATTTCTGAGTCATTTTGTCTTATGTACAAATACATCATTGTAGGATTTTGAGTAGAATGAAGTAAATATATATATATGTATTATATATATTGGTTTGAGGAATCACTATATTGAGTCCTCCAATCCATAAATAAGAAATATCTCGATTTGGGCCTTTTTTTAGTTCTTTGGTATTTTTCAGTTTTCAACATAAAGATTCTGTACATGTTTTCCAGCATTTATACTTAAGTATTTTGTTTCTTGGAGCTACTGTATATTATCTTTTTTTTATTCTGGTTTATAATTATTCATTGCCAAGATAACTGATGATTTTTTGTTGATCTATATCCCATGGTGTGCTAAATTTACCTAATTTTAGAAGTTACTTTGTGGATTCCTTGTTATTTTCTACATAGACAAAAATGCCATCCATGAATAGAAACAGTTATATTTCTGTATGTATAATATGTAAATCTTTTATATCTCCCATTTGTTTTGGTTTTAGTTTACTGATTAGGACTTCCACTACATCGTTAAACAGGAATGGGGAGACTAGAGAGAAATCTTTATTAGTCTTGATTTTAAGAGGAAAGCACATAGGTGTCACATTATGTATGAGTTTTTAAAGTTTTTAAAAAATAGGAACCCTTTATCAGTTTAAGGAGGTTCCTAATCTACCCTAATTTGATGTGTTTTAATCATTATTAGATATGACTCTCCAAATACTGTAATTTTTCTACATCAATAATGTGATCATACAGTTTTTCTTTTTTGGGCTATTAATATACTGTCTTAGTCTATTCCAGCTGGCATAAGAAAATGCATCTATCACTTATAAATAGTAGAAATATATTTCTAACAGTTTTGGGACCTGAGAAATCTAAGATGAAAGTGTTGGCAGGTTCAGTATCTGGTAAAGAAACAGTCTTTGCTTCCAAGATGGCACCTTGAACACTGTGTGCTCTGGTGGGGATGAACATTGCGTCCTCACATGGCAGAATGGCTGAAGGGCAAAAGCAGACTAGCTTTCCCTAAAGCCCTTTTATAAGGGTACCGATCCCATTATGAGGGCAGAACCCTTATGCTGTTGCATTGGGGATTAAGTTTCAATATGCACTTTAGGATACAAAACAGTTAAACTATAGCACTGAAATGTATTGATTGAATTTTTAATGAACCTTGCCTTCTTGATATTAACCCTGTTTGGTCATTATGTTTTATTCTTTATACACATTGTTTTAGTTTAAAAATAGTTCATTGGCTGTAATTTTGGGTCTATAAATTTCTTTTCATGCACTGTCCTTTTCTGGTTTTATCAGGGTGATGCTGATCTCATAAAATAGGATGGGGATTATTTTTCCCTTTTCCTTCATGTAGCTGATTTGTTAGAGGAAAAAAACCCTGATAATTTATTTGGTAGAATATTGATTATTGATTTGCCTCATTGATCTTTCATGGTTTCTATTTACTCCTCTATTTCCTATGTTTCCTGAAAACTGATAGATTGAGAGGCTTAATTAGATTCAGGCTCAATATTTTTGCCCACATAATTTAACAGCTGTAATTATGAATATTCTATATTACATTATAGACACATAACTAGTTTCACCATTTTTAATAATTCTGAAATTGATCAGTAGATTCAGATAGTATTAGTCTGTTACTTCCATAAAATTTCCTATAAAGATATTAGCATCTCAGTTTCTGCCCATAATTATTTACAAGCTCTGTTATTTCATTATGAATTGCAAAAAAAAATGCTTCACTAATTTTTCACTCCTTTCACATTTGTTAACTTTCATAAAGAACTTTTATCAAGTTTGTGGTTAGCCTGTGTGTCCATTGGGCCACAAAGAAAACAGAAGCTGAGATATAGAAGTTTAAGAGATTTATTGAGAGGTAATACCTGTGGAAAATAAAAAGAGGAGGAAGTCATATTGGATGGGCAAGGAAAACAGAATCTCTGACCATGAAATGTATTTGGCAGTCTTGCCCAGCCCAGTGGGGAGCTATGAAATAGATTACACATTAAGTAGAAAAGCCTGTCACTAATTCCTGTCTTCTGCTCAGCCTTTGGCCCAGGACTACCTAGAAGAAGGCTGCCTGTGCTCAAAAGTGGTTGTGGATCCCATAGGTGCTAACATCTGGAGGCTGTCAGTTGTATCCTTACAGTAAAATGGCATGGTCTTTCTCCAAGGGAAATCTAGGAATAGCATGTACATAGATATCGTATCTTAAGATACAATTTGTAAATGAGAGTCAGAATAAATTCTTGATTCTTTCCTTTTATCAATTTTTGACATATTGAGTGGGCATTGTAGCAACTTCCATTGGCAAGGACTTTGGAGATTTTGATGCTTTTTAATTAATTGCAATGATTATTCTTTTTAATGTATAAATTGTTTCATCTTGGGCCAATAAGAGCCCTTCCAAGTTTGTTCCTATTTTTTCTATTTTATTAGGGAAAATTTAAAACATAAAAAAATAGAGAAATGTTTAATGAACTGCCAAATATGTGTTACCCAGCTTTGGCAGTTATCAATTCATGATCAGTCTTTAGTTGTGTATACTTTTTCATACCTCTCATAGATTATTTAAAAATAAATACCATACATTATGTAATCTTGAGTATAACTGATATGACCCATTATTTGTAAGTGTCTTTGTTATCTGACACAACAAAATTTCCATTTCCTATTATTACAATTTCTACAGAGGAGCAGTATCAGATACATCTCTGAAGATCTGTAGTTTATTTATTGGAATATTTTCAACTCCAACCTATTATCAATTTTTTATTTCTTTTGCATTCTGTTTCATGAAATCATTTTGATTATTAAAATTTGTACTTTTTCTTTAGTCTTTTCCTTAAAGCTAAACAACCAGCTATTTATTTTAACATATCAAGAGAAGTTATATTTCATTTTACAGAAGAAAATTATATCAGAAAGATTTCTCTCACTAGAAACAAACAATGAAGGAAGGGCTCACGAATCTGGAAAGTTCAAAGTTGGTTGACCAGCTTACCTTTGTCATGATGGACCCACTTTACCAGTTGTTTTCGATCTCTCCATTCTGTCAATTATGGTGTACCCCTAACTCTGAAACTGGCTCCTTTAATGGATATGAGATATACTTTCTTTTTCCTGTACAAGGTAAGAATGTACTTCTGCCCAAAATTTTGAGTATAAGTACTAAAATTCATTTTGAAGGGTCTAATTTTGGTCCCGAGGCAACCTATGAACCAATGATCATACCCATGGAAATAAAATTTATATAAGCCAGTTTGGGTCCTCTGGGAAATGGAAGTAGGAACAGCTTCACTCAAAGCACATGAGCTGGGTAGAGGTCTCCATACCATCAAGAAAACTAGGAAAATGTACAAAATGGAAATTATGGAGTATAAAGCAAACAGGTAACTAAGAAATACCTACTACACAACTACAAACTATATCCTGGTTGTTGGGGTCAAGGCCTGGAAACTGTCACATTCCCATATACTTTAAATCATCTCCAAATTACTTATAATGTCCATTACATAGTAAGTACTAGATAGTTATTAGCTCTACTATTTAGAGAATAATGAAAAGAAAAAATATATAAATGTTCAATATAGATACAATTTCTCTTTTTAGAATATTTATGATTAATATATACCATATATTACATATATATGTGATTAACACATATATACCATATATAACATTTATGATTAACATATATATTAAATATATAATATTATATATATGATTTATGAGGTAGGCTTACAATGGCCATCTTCAAAGTCAGGTGTGGAAGAATTCAAAAGGGCTCTCTGTGTGCTAGCTAGCCCAGTGATCCAGTGAAAAGTATAAGATCTGGAACTCACTGCAGAATCCCATTGGAGTCTATATCAGGAAGCTGAAGGGTCTGCACTGGAAAGCTGAAGAGTATGCACTGGAAGCCAGGAGACAGATATCCAAGGTGATGGTGAAGACTGGAGTGCCTCCAAAGAAACAAAAGTGAGAGGGCCAGGGATTTAGCTCAGTGGTGCCGCTACCTGCCACCCGAGGTCCCAATTCAATCCCCAGTTAACCCCCCTCCAAAAAGAAAAAAGAAACAAAAGTGAGACTGCTTCTTCTTTCACTTTTTATTCCATCCAGGATACAAGCTTTTTGATTGGTGCCACCCGCCCCCAGAGTGGGTCTTCACTCTTTGGTAAGTCCATCATTGAGACACACCTAAGACTATGCTAAGCTAATCAGTTGGGCATTTCTTAAGCACATTGACAAAACAGTTAACTGTCACACCGACTGTATATGTAACATCTTCAGTGACTTTCAAGAAGTTGCCCTGATGTTCATATTTCATATGAAGTGAATGATATTGGGATATTGTTTCAATTGCAGAGGTTTCTGATCATTCCTCCAGGATATGCTTAGTTATATACCATGGAATTAATGTTCTAGAAGCAATATGTTCATCATTTCATTTTCTTATGCAAATATCTTCAGCGGCTTCATTATTGCCTGTGAAATATAAACTTAACATTCCTTACTTAATTTGCATCAAAGCCTTTCATTGTATCAAAGCCTTCTATTGTTTGTTCCAAATCTACCTTTACATACTTCTGCACCATTATTTTTTAAAATTTCATTAATATGTTTAGCATTCTTCACACCTATGGACATAGGCACACAGCCTGAAAAACAGAATGCAATAACAAAAAATCTCCTTTAAGCTGCTTTTCTGTTTGAAATCCCTACCCCTAGGGGTAAAGAGGACTTCATACATCTTGCTGGTTTTAGACATTTTGCTTTGGAAACTGGTAAGATTCATTGTCCAAACTAGATCTATTCTTTTGGGGTTTTTTTTTTGTTTTGGGGGGTCGAATGTTTTTGGGGGTCGAATTCAGGTCCTTGCGCTTGCACAGCAGGCAGCGAAACCATTGAGCTAAATCCCCGGCCTGCTAGATCTATTCTTTATTTCTTCCTAAGTAATAATTCTTATGTTATTTGAATGATAGCATAGTTTGCTTTACCCACATTTCCTAGCCTTTCTAGCAACAAGATACATCCACAAGATAACGTTGTAAAATTGTTGAAAGGATTCGAAGAGGGGCACCTTAAAGCTGTGTAGTCTTCTGCTTTTCTTCCTGCTTGCTGCCTAAGAAATGAGTAATAATGGCTGGAGTTCCAGTAGCCACCAGGGACCATGAAATTACAAGTGGAGCTCAGGTCTGAGAATGATAGAAGAAAATAACAGAAAAGACCCTGGGTTCGTGGTGACTTTATGGAACTGTTATGTTAGCTCTGGACTTCTTTTACGACATTTCTTTGACTTTTAAGATGCACCATTTATTTATATATTATTAAGTGATGGAGCCCGCCATCACTTGTTGAACAGTACCTGAATGGGGGAGTGAGAATGAAGAAAAATAAAGACAAAGAGATAGAGTCAGGAGGGCTCCCAGAGACCAAGCGCCCAAGTTTATTTTTCTCCTCTCTTTTCTACAACAGGTGAGTTTGCTTGTTAATCATGACCCTCATCCAGAGACACCTGCTTCCTTGTTTTCTAGTTCTTTGGGAATTCCCCACCCTCATGGGCTTCCTTGTTTCTCGGGGTTACAGAACATTCATCACGTTCCAGGACAATCTAATTCGGCAAGGACGTGGTTCCTCATAACATAGTCTCCTTGCTCTATACAATGGAGGGTAAGATTCAAAATGGAGCCTCTTTGGCTAACACCGCTCTCCTCACACTGCTCTCCACATCTCCCCGTTTTATATATTATGATCAAGGTCCCTTGATCACGCAGATAGACTGTGCCTGTCTTAGGCGAGGAATATAAAGAAATCCCTTACCTGTCATGGAGTCAAGAGCATCACAGTACTCTTGCTTTGTCTTAGGTTGGTGATTTCCTATACTCCACTTACCCATCATTGACTACCAGCCTCTGCAGGGAATTACACCATGGGTTTAGGCGGTGTAGCATGTAATTATAGACCATGAATACTTCCAGCCATCCTCATTAAAGAATGCACAAACATCTGCAGTAGTGCCGGAAGGATCATGCATCTAAGAGGCAGCCCTCCTCCAATAATTACTATGGAAATGAGTTACCACGTAAATGCAGATGTAGATGGCAGAACCTTTCTAATTTGTTCGATAAAATCCTGTGCAGCCTGGGCTGCATCAAATTCCAGGGGTTCTGCATTTTGGGGATCTATAATATCCAAATCTAAGAACACGTTCGCAAAACCATTATCTGATTTTCTGTTCGGGTGACACAACTGCTTATTTGACAATTAAAGCAAATTACACTATAATAATCATAACCTTTCTGAACACTAATATTTCTTACAAGGAATACATAAGAGCGCATGACGCTTGCAATGACATTTCTTTTGGGGTGACAAGAATTTTCAGACCAGTCCAAAACATAAGTATCAAGTCCAGTAATATTATATCTCACAGAGGCATCTGCCACACATCCCTTCCATGGAATAGTCTTATTGCAGCATTAAAAGTCTGAGGCACTACACCAGTGGTCTCTATACCCACAGGTAGATGTAGATGGACTCCAGTGATCCCACCTTTGCATTGATCCACCTGCCTTCCTGTCAGGGTGCGAGCACTCAGTCTTATACAATCAGTTCTGTTGATTTTGAAGAAACATATGGGGGGTTCCGGTTTCTGATTCTGTATAGTTGAACAATTGGACCTCGTTCTTGTCAGGTGCTGCCGGCTCATCCAACAGCCTGGTATTGTTCATCCATACCATTACTTGTCCATTTTTTCAGCTCGTTGGATGTACAACAGGTGGATCAGGTGCATAAGTCCAATAAACATTCTCATTAAGCATCATCATTAGATTTATCATCAGGACAGTTGTCGGGATCATCCTAAGGGGCAGGAAAATTTCCTGCAAAATGGACCAATCTTTCAGGCAGCCGCCTGGCACCTTCAGCGTCCTGCGGGAAAACACAAACATGCCCTCGTCCCCATATTAATACCGGATCAGGGCCACTCCATACACCCGTGAGGGGATCTTTCCACCTCACTTGAGCGTTAGGATGCCACAGCCGTTCTGCTGCGGAAATTTCTGAGCATCCACAATCAGAAAATTCAAGATGAAGAGAGCATGATGTAAATAATTCTGTGAGGATAAAGGGTATAACTCCCCCTTTTTATTTTTTGCAATTGATTTTTTAGAGCACCATGGGCTCTTTCCACAATCCCTTGGCCTTGCGGGTTATAAGGAATACCTGTTTTATGGGCGATACCCATCTGCTTGCAAAAGATTTGAAAAGCTTTACTAGTATATCCCATGCCATTATCAGTTTTAAGAACAGTAGGGACCCCAGTTGTGGCAAAGCATGTTAAACAATGGGCTATCACATGTTTTGTAGCTTCTCCAGTTTGTGCAGTGGCCATAATAAATCCTGAAAAGGTATCAATACTTACATGTATATATTTTAACTTTGCAAATTCAGCAATATGGGTAACATCCATTTGCCATAACTGATTAGGTTTAAGGCCGCTGGGATTTACCCCATAATGAGGGACAGAATGATGTGTAGGACAGGCAGAACATTGCTTAACTATTTGCCGAGCGGCTTCTCGAGATATATGGAATTGTTTTCTTAAACTGTGGCTATTTTGATGATGCAGAGCGTGAGACTGCTGAGCTAATTCCAATTGACTGAAAGCTACTAGCCATGTAGCCTGATCTGCAAGATCATTTCCCTTTGCCAGGGGTCCAGGAAGCCCAGAGTGAGTCCTAATGTGACCCACATAACAAGGACAGGTCCGGGCAGGTATGCATCGTTGTGTCTGAGCAAAGAGCTCCTGTATTTGATTATTGGCAGCATCAATATAAGCAACTGTTTCAAGCGCCTGCAAAGCCCTAACAATATAATGACTATCTGTATACAAATTGAAATAATGGGCCAAAAGTTCAAACACCGTAGCAATGGTGTGAAGCTCAACAATCTGAGTGGAGGCAGGGGCTGTATGAACAATCTGTGGCTTTCCTTGAATAACATATGCCACAATACCATTGGAAGACCCATCAGTGAAAACTACTTGAGCATTTTTTATGGGTTCCTGTTTCATAATCTTGGGAAACACTAAAGCATGAATATTAACAAATTGCAATAATTTATCCTTGGGGATATGGTTATCT